CCACAGTTTAGACGGGCTCCCATTAGTCAGGAGGACCATGAGATAAAGTATGGGCAAAGAATATGCTGGTCCTTGCTGCTATCAGATCCAGCAGAACCAGAAGGATAAATAATCTTGACTAATTTACGGCACCAGAAAACCCTCATGTGGTCCTAAAATGCCATCTCCAATGGCATTAAGAGAACCAGTATACTCCTGGATGCTAAGACCTAGTCTCTCTCAAGGGAAGCCAAAGAACTGAAGCCTGAAAAGCAGTAACAGGAAAGATCTCTACTATTTCATACATTTTGTTGACATTAGGGCTGGAAGGGACCTTGAGAGATCATCAGGTCCAGCCCCTTGCCCAAAGGGCAGGAAGTCAACAGGGGTCAGATGGTTGATCAAAAAACAAAACATAACAAAACAAGAGACCCCCCCCTCCCAAAAAACCAAAACCAAAAACAACCCACCAGCATTCATACAGGCTTTGAGACAGACATGACTTGACTTGCACCGATTACAAACAATGTCAGTAAGTTAGTGTTAGAGTCTTCAGTCTTTTGCCAAACTCTCCTGACAAAACTGAATTGCTGAAGGAAGATCAACATTTTTACCTTGTGCATCATCATCATCTCCCATTTCTTTCCCAAGTTAAAGAAAGAAGACTGCTTAACTTTCTCAGCAGGCTTTATACTATACATTTATAAGCTTTATACTCCATGGTGACTGGAATTAAATTGAGGACTTTTGGTGAATCTAATCTTCATGAAAAGATGTTGCTTTGGAGCTACTGCAGGCCTCCTTACACCACAAACTCAGTAGAGACTCTTCACTCCCACTTCTGAGAGTAAGCCTGGGCAAAGATTTGGAAACAACTCAATGTTTCCCCTTCTGTCCATTTAAGGAAAACAGTGCAGGGCCAGGCAAAAAACTCAGTACCATTTTACATAATGAAATTAATGAATGAATGTAGACAAGGAAGAGTAATAAGGGAAAGCAAAATGGTGGGCCAAGGAGGCAGTATTTTTTTCCCCCAGACCTAAGGATATGTATAGATTTATTATGGGATAGAATGGAGGTCCTTTCTCCCTTTTTTGAAGCTTCGCCTTTGTTTTTGTTGCAACTTAAACGTATGTTGAGCTTTAATATAGATACCTGTTGTCAGGGCCATCCTGGGCTGGGGGGGAGGGGGGGAAATCGGGGCAACCACCCCAGGCCCCATGCTTTAAGGGGCCCCATGGAGTCGGGCAGAGCAGCCACGGTGACTCCGTGTTACCACCGGCTTCATGTCCGGCTACTCAGTACCATCCCCCACCCCAAATCTCCCAGTTCTGGCTGCTTGGCAACCCCCACATTCCCCCGCCAAATCCACCACCTCCAGCCGCTTGGCACCCCCCACTGCTGGCTTCCTTGCGCCCAGGGTTCGGGCGCCCCACAGGCTGATTTGCCCCAGGCCCCACATCCTACTCAGGTCGCTGCTGCCTGTTGTGCTTTTTAGTAATTAAATTAACATACATACATATTAACATAAAACTTGAAAAAAGTAAACTGTATGTCCAATACCTGACAAAGTACTACAGTGATCTACAGTATTCATACTGAATGCTACAGTCCACAACAGGTCCACCAACAGAAGTTGGAGGCCAGGCCCAGCCACAGAATTTGGGGGTTTGGGCCCTGCTGAACATGGACGTTGGCAGCAAGGGAGTGCACAAGGGCTGAACAGATAGAGCTGTCACTTGCCCAGCACCTGCTGGACCTCTACTGCTGGCCCTAAATCCCCAACTCCAGGTGCTGCCTGCCCTGTGAATCTGGCCAGAGAGGAATCCTGTGGTTTGGATCCAGCCTGAGGCGAGTCTTCCACCTCTGGCTTCATGTCCACAGAATTTTTAAATTTAACACCAACGGCTTGCCTAGGTAGAAAAGGGGACATTCAGGAGAATCAACGCAAATGTAAGATTAACTGTCAGGAATGTTGTGCTTTTCATAAGAAAATGCTCAATTACTACTGAGTCTTCTTTGCAAACTTTAAGGTATGTAGAGCAAACTATTTGCCACTGCTGATCTTCCTTCAGCAGCTCACATGTCCTTTTCACTGTACTGCTCTCACCTGTTGTCTGTTGCTTTGGCAGGCAGCACTCAGGTGTTTGAACCAGAGCATTGCATTCATTCTATTCCCAGCTTGAAACTTGTATGAATTTCCTAAAATGAAAAAGGTAGGGGAAAAAAAACCAGACTGAACCAAAGCAGAGAACATACAATATAGTACCTTCAACTTTATCTAAATTCAAACAAAGCCAAAACGCAGACATTATCAAAGCATGCAACAGAAATCCTATATTCATGTAAATTTACACCTCTGCAGCATAGATCCAATTCAAATAGAATAATTTACCTTAATTGCCCCTGTTTGTTCCCTCAGTCCCCAATCATTCCCCCCAGTTCCTGGTTTGATCCCTCTCCTCAGCTCCCCAATCATCCCTATTCAGCCCCTGCGGCTGTCAGTACTGCCTGCCTTGCCGCAGTGGGGGTGCAGCTGGGCGAGCAGCGGCTTGTCCTGGGGCTGCTGGCTCAAGCTGGGGCTCGTCTGGCTGCTCCCCCAGCTGCTCCTGCGCCTGCCTGCATAGACTATGGCCAAATAAGATTCAGCCCCAAATATCTTTGGATTTGGCCAAATCGAATTGGGATAGTGATTTGAATCACCGAATCAAACCACTGTCCCTCCAAATCTGAAGCAAATACTTTCCGCTTTACACAAGCCTGGTAGACAGAACTGGAGTTTATACTCTAAGAATGTGTGCATGCCTTCGAAAAAAGTGTTGATATACTTTAGACCAATGTTTAATATATAGTGGTTGCCTGATTCTAGATGGGCTGAGGAAAAATATTACACAAGTGTTTCAGATTGCTGCTGCTGATATCCAGTTGACAAGTACATACAATTTATATGCGTTGGTGCTATCCTTAGGTTCACCTATGATAGGGACACAATTTGTAATACCCAACACATATGAACTGATATGTATAATACCCATATGATATGAACTAATTTCGTGCTTATATCATATTATATATGTTGGAGAAAGATTCATTTTTAATTATGTAAATTGATCTATTAAAATATCTTTTTAAATAACTGCATTCAAAATATTCACTGAAAACTAACTGCAGTTGCAAAGGTACAGGTAACAATACTAAGACATCATTCTTTAGTACTAAGTATAGAAATATTTAAGAAGAAATCCCAAAAAGGTCACAGAGGAAAATGCATGTTAAAATGTGTTGTCAGAACTGCTTTTGATGCCCTTTCTGCATATTTTGAACTTTCCTAGCAAAGTAAGAATTTCTCCACAGTTCATACTGAACTGGCTTTCACTTTTAATCTTCTCCTATACCTCCTCTTTCCAAAACAACTTAGGAAATTGTATCGTTTTTTGTATTTCTGAAGCTTTTTTTTTTTTTTTTTTTTTTTTTTTTTTTTTTTTTTTTTTTTTAAGATCAAGGGTTTTCAACCTTTCTTAACAAGTGTACCCTTTCTCTCTCAAAGCTCTAGCTCAGGTACCCCTTTATATTTTTTTCTTGTGGGG